ATTTTTATTACACATTGATATAGAAATCCACCTTATTTGGTAACTTTTAATATATTTTAGATTTCGAATTTCAGGATTAAGGATATTAAGGAATATATGTTCGGATGTTCCTTATTATATATACATCCTTATTTTTAAATCGGAGGATATCTCTAAGTTGGAATCCCTTCCCCTAGAATCCTAGATGCTTGATTTTTTTAATTATTAAATTAGAATTGTCCAATTGAGAAAATAGTTGAAATTTTAAAAACTACACTTTTAGACATTTTTAATGTGAGGAAATTATGAATAAAATGCAACATCTTACTATTAAAATTTAAAAGTAATTATGCATACCATTCAGTCAGAACCTAATCAGTTTCAATAGAGTCAGTTGATTCAATCCATTTTAGTGTTATCAAACGGGCTCTATATTAAATTGAGAGTTTTTTTTCTATTAAGTCATGTCTAGATTAACACGTATGTCTGGGCTAAGATGTCTGATTTAGTGATATTTGTTTTGAGGCGATTTATTTTGTATGCCGAATAAACAGTCTGAATCATGTAAAATAAAGAATTTAGTATTATTATTAATGTATAGTGTCAATGAAAAACTCCATTTATTAATATGATGAGTCTATTCTACAATCAAATTGAAAAAATTTAGAGAAAAACGTCTCAATAGTCAGCCTTAATGAGAAGGACGACTATTTTAGAGCTTAATGATTAATTTAGTTTTTTGACTGAATGATTAAGTCATGCTTCCAATTAAGTCATAAGTAAAAATTACTTAATGATTGAATTATTAAGTCAAATGTGATTAAGTCTATTTAGTCGAAATTAAACAGCCCTTGAGTTTATTTTGCTCTTACATCACATTATATATAATTACGGAAAAAATGACATTTAAAATTAGCTAAGTTACGTACTGCTCGTGCATCGCACGGGCTTAAAAATAGAATGTAATAATAAAATAAAAGGTATAAAAATAATTAAATAATGGTCATATATGATGACATGGCAGGCTTATGTGGCGCGTTGTATGCTCTTAAAAAGTTCCTCCTTTATATATATATATTGATTTCTCTGTAATTTTCGCAATAATTTTGTGGCAGAAGCAACCAGAATAGCCGGCTGGACGTATATTAGGGGACCATATATATAGGCCCAAATTACTTGAAAACAAGAGTTGCTGCCACTCCTGGTTTCATATGTTGTATTTAACTATTTTCATGATACTATTATATTCTTCTTTGTCCATATATACTCCGTATATCGTTTAATTATTACTTGCTCCGTATTATACTATTCTTTGTCCATTATACGGAGTACAAAATTACGAATGTGTACGGTAGGAGTAAGGGGCCAGATTGCCAGAATATAATATAACTTTAAAATATAAAGTACAAAACTAGTAAAAGAATATTACCGGATGTCCCCGAAGGAACAGTAAAAGAATATTACATACTACGAGAGTTCGAGTAATACGATAGTATTCATTTACATTCAAAACTGCAATACCAAATAGTATGCCATCTAAAATTTTGAATTACTTTCTTGCATTAAAATAATGTATAATAATATGAGTAATTTTTTTTTGTTTCAAAAAAAAAATATGAGTAATTCTATTCGCAGTCACTCTTTTGCTAAATACAGCCGCTTATTATTTATCATTACAATTATATCCTTATTCACGGCCTCCTTTTTTACATCCCTGCCTCCTCGCCTCCTCCTCATAACAGAAATGGCGGAGTCATTGAGCCAAAACCATATGGCCAAATCAACTCCTTTCTTCCTTTAAGTCCTCCCTTTTTAGTTAATTCATTATTAACCGGAAAAACGTTTATACAGATTCCATAGATCATAGTCGTTATGCACTAATACAATACAGTAATACTGTATTTTTTTTTGTTACTTCATATACGGTTAGGATGGATTCTGGTGGGCTTCTCCGCTCTTCGGCAAGAATTTGTGCTAAAATTGAGAAAACGACTGTCCGGATAAGATTCATCAGTGGAGAGAGTTGGTAACTTGGTATATAAACTGATATACACACACCTTGCTTCCAGTCTCGATGCCGTCATAGCTCGCCTCATCAAGATTGGGAATCTCCAGATAACGTCCAAGACAATGGATAATTTCGAGAAGCAGTTTGTGAATATAGAGGTCCAGGCTCAGTTCATGGAGAAATCCATGGCCAGAAGCACTTTCCTGTCCACGGAGAATCAGGTCAACTCCTTTGTGCAACAGGTCGCCGATGACTATGGCCTTGACGTTTCCGTTGGGCTTCCATGGCCTGTTGCTCATGCGGTGGCAATGAAACCACGGAGAAGGTCTATGACTCTATGTGCATTGAGCAAATTGTCATATCTGAAACAAAGCTCAGGGGCGGTAAAAAAAAGACAGAGCTGCGAATAAGGATATAATTGGAATAATAAATAATAGGTGGTTCCATTTAGCAAAGGAGTGGTTGCGAATAGAATTACCCTAATAATATTCAGCACACAATATACAGCACATTCGGTAACAAAACGAGCTCATAAACTAAAAGATGCTTTCGCAATGTAACGTCTTTTTTGCAATATCAAGTAACCTATAATGAATAATTATGCAACCACAAATAAATAAAAACTCATTACATCAATCTACTACTAAAAACAAATTCACAAACCAAAGAGATTATAATTTGTAAATTCCTAGGAACTAATAACAATTCACCAAAGTTTAGATCATATTATATTTATTAAATTAATAACTAATTAACTAATAACAATTCACCAAAAATTCTGAAATTCTAAAATAGGACTCCCATGTTTTTATTCCCTAAATAGGAGTAATTTATGTCAAGTTTGACAAAAACTGCCATGTTTAAAGCATGATAATGTCAGACTTGACAGAAATTACTCCTATTTAGATAATAAAAACATGAGAGTTTTATTTTGGAATTTCAAAATATTTTTATTCATATTCAGGACAATTTTATATTTTCTTTGTGTTTTGCATTTCAGATACTATCACGGTATCATCTAAAGTATTGTAGGTTCGTGCAAAGAATACTTCGTATCTATAATAATATTTGATGGACTTATCGTTTACCCTAATAATCCTATAGATTGGATCTGTTGACAAGTTTTTAACCTCGGTTGGATTTACATCACTAAAATGCCCACATTTGAAATGACTTTGAAAGTCATTGTGTGTGGCTAGAACATGTGGGTCTCAAATTTTTTATGTTTAATCAAAAGATCATTATTTTGCTCACCAATGAGTAAAAAATCCCATTATTTTTTAAAACCCTTTTCTCTATATTATTGTTAGAGCTGCATATTAGAAATATGCATGGTTGAAAAGGTCTTTTCACACAATATCAGTATCAGTGATTTTTTGTCCATAAACTTTAATTTAGATGTTCTATAAAACATAACAACATTAGTCACTAAAACATTTAAAATTCTAGAATTTTAAATTACTGCTCTGGCAGAAGTACCTTTTGTTGGTGGTCATATCTCTCTTGAAGACAATTCATAATTCTTTTGGATTATCGATCAAAAGGCATTTCAACTTTAAACTTTCATGGAGATGGTGATGGAGGAAAATTATAGCTTTTGTTTTATCTTGGGCAGATGACTGATTATTAATCTCGTTAGTATCCTCTAGACTATTAGTCTCTAAATGTGCTAAAAGCATCAACTTTGCATTCCAAGTACATTTGGCCATATAATCTAGGATATCAAATTCTCTTTTGCTAATAAACGTTTACCATCTATACCATAAATTATTAATTTAAATATATTAATAAAACGTCATACTATTTATCGTGTTAAGTTACAAACTACTTCGTATATTAATGTGTTTAATCACACAAATAATATATAGAAATATACGGAGTATGGCTTTGAATATGAAAATAATTATATATTTATGCCTCAAATAAAAGAAACTGTTTGATACTGTTTGAAATATGATTATTTTTCATGAAAGAAACAAATTCTTCTCAAGGAAACATTTACTCATTCACCCGTGAGTCCGTGACTACATGCAGGGCTAGCTAGAGAGTTATTGAGGCCCTAAACAAGATATAAACATCAATAATATTTAACACGACATATTTTAGTTTGTTTTCTAGATAAAAATAATATTCCGTATAAAGTATTGTACCTATATTGAAAAATAAATTGTACTCCGTAACTCAACTATTGTAACCATTATACTTGCAAATTGTCAAAGAATTACATAACTCAACTATTGTAACCATTATACCTGCAAATTGGCAAAGAATTACGTACAACATAAAGAATATGTTATCACAAATGCACTTATTATATTAAATTCACAAATCAAATTAAATAATATTGCTACATTCAAGCTAATTTTGAAAAATATAACGAATATATATGTATTGCAAAATTTGAAAAAGTAAAGATATTTGAAAAAGTAAACATAACTAAAATTAGGGGGTTTTCATTAAATATTACTAATAATAAGTCATGCAAAAAAATTACTCCCTCCATCCCATTTTACCCGTTCTACTTTCCTTTTTCGGATGTCCTAAAATAAGTGTCACGTTTTCTTTTTTGGAAAGAAATATGTGGTCTACATTTATTTTATTTATTATATTCAAATATCAACAACAACTTTTATTTTTTCAATCGTTTCATTAATAATTGTGCTAAGTAAAAGTGAGACGCATAAAATGGGATGCAATAGTATTTAGTAACTAACTAAATATTAGTGAGTATAATTGTATTCAGATTTAAATCGTAGTAATTACATGCATGTAAATTATATCGTAGTAAGAAGCTAAAAATATTTATTAAAATAGGGATCATATAGTGAGTAGTGACAGATAAATAAAATGAGTAATGAGCAGTAAAAAATTAAAAAAGAAAAGAAAATATATGTAGCGTACATCCCCCAAAATAATCGATGCACGTACTTCGTGACGCTTTGTCCAACGTACAGCTGCTGCCTTGCCTAACTCCCCCTTATGCCAGCACTGACTGCGTGGGTGATATTTGTACTATCACACAAGACACACCCGTGATGATAATAGATAGTACTCCCTCTCTTGAGATAGTACACCCGTGATCAACCCCTCCAGGTAATTGCTCGCCAACATTCAATAGCCTAAATCCACACAATCCGCACCTTACCAGACATCCCACCCTTCGGCTAGCTAGCTAGATTGATAGTAGTCAGTAGACAACCAACACAAGCTTGCCAGAAAAAAAGATTTAATCTTTGGTTTGAGTTTTCAGTTCCACCTCGATGCCCAGCCTGTCCATAAATCCTCCTGAGACTCGCCTGTGATTATCCTGTAACAGTACGCACTGAGAATCTGCCCCGGCTCTCCCATCTCCAGATTAGTTTATCAGGTAATTTACGCTTACTTATTGGAATACTCTGTATTAATTCTCTATCCCTGTTGTTGAAAAATGTCAATTAAAATGTTCGAATCCCATGTCTGAGATTGCCCAATAAATAGGCTGTTAAAAGTCTTACTCCGTATTTTCCAACCCCTCAGGAGGGGGTGTTGAAACCAGAGGATCTGCCTTATCTGGCAGCCAGGGGTGTGTCCATACAATTACCGTCACCAACCTGCCAACAATAGCCATCTCAAACAAGCTCCTCCATACATAAGATGGGTTGCTGCCCAGTTTGGCTTTAAGAAAATTACCATCCGGATAGTACCTGGCACTGAAAGTGAACACACGACTCACCAAGGCCTTCGGGTCTGTAAATAATCTCCAAGCTTGTTTAGCAAGCATAGCAATATTGAATTTCCGTAGTACCTTTTTTTAATCTCAGGAAGCAGAGACCTCTTCAGCATGGGTCATATGGCAGTGGATAGTCTGGCCTAAAATCATATTGGTTTTTTTAAGGGACTTAAATTGCTCTGCATTCAACAGAGTTAAATTGATGTGTTATGCGGTTGTGTAATCATCTAAAAGCTTGATCATGGAAATAAATTGTTGTCAATATTTCTGGATCATTAGAGCATCTTTAATACAATAGTGTGCACAATTCATATGTGGCATGAATGAGATAGGACACACAAATAAATCGATGCTACATGTGCACCGTGCAAATTGTTGCATTGGAGATGCTCCGAGTTATGAATGTCATGGAAATTATTCTGTTATTCTTCATTGACGTTGATTTAAACATGCAGAGTATATGAAAGATCTTACGTATCTAGAGAAGGAAAGAAAGATACATCCCAATCGTCACTTTATGCATTTATGAAGGTTTCATATTTGATCAACTTAGTACTCCCTCCCTTCCATATTACTTGTGCCACATTAATTTTGGGATTGTTCCAAGTTGCGAGCCTCAATTTCCTTTTTGAAAATGGCACAAAAAAAGTAAGTTGGTACAGTACACCTCCAAAGAATGTATAGTACACAAAAACAAACCCATCACAGCTGCTATAGTGCACCTTAAAAAAGTGTAAGGTGGGAAAAAACGAACTCCTTAAAGCCACTTTTCCAATTCTTGCAAACACTATCCTAAACTATGAAACCCCCACTGGAACAACTATTTCGGAATGGAGGGACTAATTATTAAATAACAACTTTTTTAATACACTTTGTATTTACTTCTTATTGTAATTTATACAGGCATCATCAGTTAGCAATGGAAATGACTCAAATGAGATGCTTAGGGGTGTTTCAGGTGGACAAAGGAAGAGAGTTGCAACAGGTTTTCCACTTTCTTGTGTATTCTTTCTATTTGTTTTTCTCTGTGTCAAAGGGCTTGCTGCACCTTCCACACGTGTGACTACACATTACTAAACAATGTATACGTTATACTACATAATCATTTTCTAAGGTGCCTATGGCAGACAAGTTTAAATTCAAATTCGAACTAAAAGTTTACTCTTTCATATGATAAAGACTTGCAAATTGACATCTCGAGACGCAGTAACATATTTATATTTTATACTGCTTTCTTTCATTAAACAATCTTTTTTATTTGGTAAATATTTAGGATAGTTACACTGTCTTTGTAATGGACTATATACCAGCTTATTTAAACATGAGTCCCTGTGAAAATCCAGCAAAAAAATCTTGACAGCCCTGCAAGAATTCACTAAAAATTGTTCTGTAGTTAATGAGACACTTTATTCTTCAGTGCTCATAGGCTCATAGCAGGAGAGATGATTGTTGGGCCAAGAAAGACTCTGTTTATGGATGAAATATCTACTGGAGTCGACAGCTCCACTACATACCATGTTGTGAAGTGCATAAGGAATTTTGTTCATCTAATGGAAGGAACCGTCTTAATGGCTCTTCTTCAGCCTGCCCCAGAGACATTTGATATGTTTGATGATCTGGTTTTGCTTTCCGAAGGATATGTAGTGTACCATGGTCCACGAGATAGTGTTGTTGAGTTCTTTGAGTCATTAGGTTTTAAACTACCACCTCGTAAGGGGATCACAGATTTTCTTCAACAGGTTATTTGTTTAAGATTTCCTTTTAAAATAATAATAATATTAATAATAGTTATTGTTGTTGTTAATTATATTCTTCAGAGCGTGTGTTTATTATTTGTCCTCACTGTGATGCAGAAGAAACTGTAACTAATCGTTTTTGCAGGTGACTTCAAGGAAAGACCAGGCTGATCATTCAAAACCATATGTTTTTATTCCAGTTTCAAAAATTGCTGAAGAATTTAGAAATTCCAGATATGGTCAGGCCTTGGAGAGTCTTATCTGTCAGGTCCTTATGAAGGAACTGGTGCCCATCATTCAGCTCTCTGTGCTAAAAGGTTTGCAGTTTCTAACTGGGAGATCTTCAAAGCATGTTTTTCCAGAGAACTGCTTCTCATTAAAAGACACAGATTTCTTTACACTTTCAGAACATGCCAGGTATACTTACCTTTTCCAGGTTAATAACATAACCTTCACGTACTAAGTGGCATTCATAATTTTTACTTATAGGCTTATAGCTTCGACATCACTATGCCTTGCAATATGAATCTCCCGGTTTGTCAATAATGTTGCAGGTTGCATTTGTGGGATTTGTGACTTGCACAATGTTCTTAAGAACCCGGTTACACCCCACTGATTTGGTCAACGCAAATCTGTACCTCTCTTGCCTGTTTTTTGGTCTGGTGCATATGATGTTCAATGACTTTCCTGAGATGCCTATTACAATTTTCCGATTACCAGTGTCCTATAAGCAAAGAGATAATCTTTTATATCCTGCCTGGGCCTGGTCTATCTCTTGTTGGCTTACACGCATACCTTACTCAGTAATTGAAGCAGTTATACGGTCTTGTGTTGTATACTATACTGTAGGATTTGCTCCTGGTGCGGGAAGGTATCAGCCATTACATTCATTATGTTGATATAGATATATATGTACTTGTAGGCTAGTTGTTATCTTAATGCCATATTAAAATATCTCCAGGTTTTTCCGCTATATGTTCGTCCTTTTTTCCATACATCAGATGGCATTGGGCCTCTAGCTATATTCTTATTGGGTGGTTTTATAATCCCTAGAGGCAAGTAGAACTTTTTCCTTTATCATGTTTTGACGGATCACTGTTGAAATAAAACAATTCTTTCATCCCTTGACCTGTTTCCCTTTTCAGATATGATAAAGGGATGGTGGGTTTGGGCTTTTTGGGTATCACCATTATCCTACGGGCAACGAGCAATATCTGTCAATGAGTTCACGGCAACAAGATGGAATGAGGTCTACTCTCTATTTCATGAAAATACAAGCATCTGCAATTCATAAAATGGAATTATTGACACTTTTAAGACTCCTTTTAATTGTGGCACTTTTGCAGAGGACTACTTTAGGAAATATTGCTCTTGGAAACAGCCTTTTGCAATCACACAGCTTACCTGCAGGTGGCTATTGGTATTGGCTGGGAGTTGGTGTTCTACTGCTCTATGCCTTGTTTTTCAACATCATAGTGACACTGGCATTGACGTTTCTTAACCGTAAGTAGTCTGGGATCTGTTGCATGACATTCAAGTCACTGTCTCTCAATCACCTCTTACATTTATTTATTATTTTTGTGTTGGCTTTTTTCTGCTGTGCAGCGATCAGAACATCTCAGGCATTCGTAGAAGAAAATTCAGCTAGAAAGGATGGTAAAAATGGAAACCATGATTTTTATGGTCAGTTGGTTATGAGTGAACAGACTCCTTTAAATGATTGTGTACTTGTCTTGAATTGTAGCGGAAAACAGGGCGAACATACAAGAGATAGACCAGGCCCAGGCAGGAAATGTAGTGTACCATGTAGTGTACAACAATAACTATTATTATTATTATTTTAAAAGGAAATATAAAACAAATAACCTGCTGAAGAAAATTTGCTATACCCTTACGAGGTGGAAGTCTAAAAACCTAATGACTCAAAGAACTCAACAACACTATCTCGTGGACCATGGTACACTACATATCCTTCGGAAAGCAAAACCAGATCATCAAACATATCAAATGTCTCTGGGGCAGGCTGAAGAAGAGCCATTAAGACGGTTCCTTCCATTAGATGAACAAAATTCCTTATGCACTTCACAACATGGTATGTAGTGGAGCTGTCGACTCCAGTAGATATTTCATCCATAAACAGAGTCTTTCTTGGCCCAACAATCATCTCTCCTACATTGACATGGCCCAACAATCATCCATAAACTGAGGTGATAAGTACGTCAACGTGTAGTGGCGATTGTGATGTATATTTCTTTCCTTCTCTAGTATTTCATTCTTCTCATACTTCGTTGTAAAAAAGCGCATGGAGAACTCTTTATTCTCAAGTCAGAGACATGTATTGTTTGTCAAAGTATATCAATTGTCCATTTATACGAATGTGTATAGTAGTAAGGGATACAATTACTTAAAAAAAGAATAAAATATAGACAAAGTGCAGTATATTGTGAAATGGAGAAGATTTAAAGTAGATATAATGAGATGAATATATAGATAATAACTTTTAAATACTCTCTTCTTAATCTGAAGTTTTTTTAATGAATTTACAATGGATTGATCATACCTTATTTATAGTAGTTCCGCTTGAATCATCAAAGAATGATTCTACACATTTTGCTGCCAATATTAAATCTATCCACTTGTTTATCTATGATTAACAAGGATTGAAATTCAATAACTGGTCTGAATACAAGGATAAATAATTCAAATTTCAAACTTGTAAATATGAGGATTTTATAAAAACCCCTTGAAATACAAGGATAAACAATTCAAATTTCAAACTTGTAAATATTAGGATTTTATAACACCCCCTTGAATGCTCATACTTGAATGTAGTGGTGGACTCGGGCCGGTTCGGGCCCGGGCTAGGAAAGTTGGGCCCGAGCCCGAACCGCCGGTGGGCGGTTCCGGTTCCGGTTCCGGGCCAAACCGGGCAGGGTCGGGCCTGACCGGTTCTATTTTTTTTTTTTTTTTTTGGCTCTTCTATTTAACCCCCAACCCCTCCCCCTCAACCCCAAACCACCCCAAACCACCTCAAATGGCCCAAAATACCTAATCCAACCCAAAACTTAAAAAAAATTCAAAAAAAAAAAATTAAAAACCGGCCCGAACCGGGCCCGAACCGGCCGGGCCGGTTCACCAAAAACAGGGCCCGAGCCCGAACCGCCCAGCAGCCGGGCCGGGCCGGGCCGGGCCGAACCGAACCGGTGGACCCACCGGGCCCCGGGCCGGGCCGGGCCAAACAGTAACCGGGCCGGGCCAAACAGTAACCGGGCCGGGCCGCCCGGCCCGAGTCCACCACTACTTGAATGAATATATTGTTATCTTAAAAACTTATTATGAAAAATTAGTGGGAAAAGCCAAGGTTAAGAGGGGAAAGAGTACGGCGTTTAATGCCGTTGTATTTGGATGTACCGTTTCGTTAAAAATCTTATCAAGAAAAAACCAATAGGATAAAAATTTAATGAAGGAAAAATGAGTATAAAAATTGTTCAAAGCCACTTGAAATTTCAATTAACTCCATATCTTGGCGAAGATAAAAATGAATAAATATTTGTTCAATATAAATTGTAATTTATTCAATAGTACATTTAATTACATAGAATAAACTTCAATTAATACATTTTCAAATATTTAACGGAGTACATACTTTAGATATGCATAAAGTATGATTTTTTATTCGATTTTGTACAACAACATCCAAGCCTTAGTCCCAAAAGATATTGAGGTCGGCTAACATGAATCGATACATGATATCACCACCAAAAGGAAAAGAAAGAAAATAAAGATTAAAAAAAATAAGCTAATATAAAATGATAATATAAAACGAGATGAGTATACCTAGAAATGATAAAATAAAAAGGACAAAAATAATGTTTATATATATAAGGATAAAAGAATAAAAAAACAAGAATGAAAAAAAATGAGGGGAAAAAATAATACGAGATTACTCCTTCACATGAATACCCGCCCTCCACTTTGATATCTCCAAAGTCATACCCTCATCCAACCCAAGAAGAAGCATATCACTTCAAACTCCCCTAACCCACGTCTGTTTGAGTCTTCCTCTCTCTCTTTTCCCTGCCTCTTCTCCACACATCTCAACACGCCATTCCTCTTTGATTTTGTAATAGGAAAAATATTGTTACTCTTAAAAGATGACGAAGTAGATTCCCATCAAGGTACATCATCATGGAGGGTATTACATTACTCCAAATTTAGGTAGTAGATACCAATTATTATTATAATATTGTCTCTTACTCGGCATTAAATCAAACAACAATGCTTGATGTGCCCACTCTTATACCCAAGTTATACGTACCTACCATGTTTGTGAAGTGTTTTTTTTATATTTTGTTTGTGCAAAATATTGATTGTGAACCGGGGTTCACTGACAAAAAAACACTTCATAAATATGGATGTGTACAAAAGTGGATATAAAAGTGGATATAAACATCATTTTTGTAAATCAAATGATGTTAGAAGACAAAACATGTGATAATGCCCAACAGATATATGGATCATACATGATGTGTGACACATCTATCCGTGAATGTGTCACTTATGAGGATAAATCAGTTCAGTCTCACTTATGTTTGTTACCACACAAAAGAATCTTTCCATTTAGAGTAATTCTTTAGATTCATTTTAATAAACTTGCCCACTATATATACATAGGAATTCGATCGCTTCAGTATTTATCATTTTGGTTTCATTTTAGTTTAACATTAGTGGTGCACGTTTTATTCACCGGCCGGGTGGTGTTTATTCAAATTATTGAAGAGTAGGACGTAGGAAACAATAACACATGCACCTTGATATCTTTTTTTGAAGGAAAAAAAGGTGCAAATAGGCCTATGTACTAATAAAAAAAAAGGGCAAATAAGTTCTTATTTAGGAGACTCTGTCTGGCCATCGCCATTTGGGGGGTTACCGGTGGAATTTTTTGATGAATTTTTTTGAGCATCTTATTCATCAAGTCTAGTTACTCATACCAAATTTCAGCTAAAACTTCAATCGGAAAGGCATTCAAATGAATTCTTGAAGATAGATGCGCTTCTAACTGCGCAGTTATTTTCAAGAATTCATTTGAATGTCTTCCCGATTGAAGTTTTAGCTGAAATTTGGTATGAGTAAATTAGACTTAATGAATAAGATGCTCAAAAAATTTCATCAAAAAATTCCAACGGGAACCACCCCAAATGACGACGGCCGGACAGAGCCTCCTAAATAAGGGCTTATTTGACCTTTTTTGGTTAGTACATGGGCCTATTTGCACCTTCTCCCTTTTTTTTTTTGAATAATGCACCTTGATATCTTATTAAAGCAAATTTCAAAACATACAATCATGCTTCATAGAGAGCTGGGCTTTCTCTTCTGCGCAATTTCTCATTTTCTCCATCTTAGATTTTAGTTTGTTCCCCAAGGCTTCACAAAGACTCTTTTTACTAACCATCCGTTTCTTAGTTTGAGCATGTAGATAATTACAAGCCTCAATTAGTTCCACCATTCATTAGTTCGCGTTCAAGAAAAACAGATTTCACATTTTCACAAATATATATTCATCAACAAAGATATTATAAGGTGTTAGAGACTGTCTAATCCGATTTTTTTTTGTCCTTTTCTGTATGGGCTGCGAGTTTTTTCTATTCCAGTTGGGCCACACGAGTCCTAATTGTGGTAGGAGTTAGGTTTTACTCTCTATAAATACAAGCTCTCTCCTTGTAATCATAGATCCGAAATTAATAGCAATATCCTGGCTTGGTAGCGCCACGGACGTAATCATTCGTGGCGAACTGAGTTACCAAATTTCGTGTGTTCTACTTATTGTTTTCGTGTTGCGTGAGTTAAATTCTAACAGGTATGTCTCTGTTTTTAAATATACGTAGTTTATAAATATATTTATATATAACATAAATTTGAAGGACATATTGATTCAAAGTAGATTTATCTTTTGCTTTCTTCAATTTCTTTTACAGAATATTTAGCTATAATTTTTTGACATGGAGGATCCCAATGGTTGGGCAACCATAGAGCATACTTCTTATAGTTTTGAACTAGTTATTTAACGCGCGTTGCGCGTTCGTGGTAATGCCCAAGGCCATTGTAGGGATATTAATTCATCGATTTAGGTTGAGTCAATATATGAGTAATATGAATATAATATTTGAATACATAGTTTGTTAATTATTGATAAGGAATCATAATCAATAAAGTATCTATAGGATAGATTATATTAGAGAAAACAATCCTGATGGAGTATATGGCCCACGAACCCCAGGCCCATAGACTCCTACTTCTCCTACACAAGTCCATTGAGCCCAGGAGACAACTCAGGCCCAAATGCAACGGCTCAAGCCCCAAAGTAGCCCGGAATACACACTGGGGTGCCTTCGGCCTCCTTGGCCGAAGGCTCCAAAACTCACAGGATAGCCTTCTCTGGCATAAGAAGCTACTGGGAGAAAACGGCGAAAAAACATGAGCCTTCGGCATTGCCAGGCCCTCGGCATCAGGGATGCCTTCGGCTGAACCAAAGCCTTCGGTCACACAGGGCCTTCGGCTAAACAGGGTCCCTTGGTCACATGAAGCCCTCGGCTACACGAGGAGCCTTCGGCCAAACACGCTCAATCATCGAAGATTCCTTTTGGAGACAGCCAACCACCGCATTTAAAGTCACGTCACATCCGCCAACCGCATTCAATGCGGTGAACGTACCACTGCCGGTGCCACCCGGCTGATGTGACCCCTCGACCGTCGGATTACTGACACGTGTACTCTCATCGCATTTATTGCTGCTATAAATAGCAGCCCTTATTCACCTTGTAAAGACACGCTGAGTTCATTTAATATAATCGACTCTCTCTCCTCCTATTTGCTCTGACTTCTCTCTAGTTATTCCCGCAATAACCCCTCGGATAAGATACCCCCCGGGTAGACAGTCCATCATTTGGTGCTCTCGTTGAGAGGTCAGAACAATCAAGTAAGAAACCCTCCCCCTCTACCAAACACAAAACACTTACCAAAAATGGGAAGAACCACCCGTGCCCAGTCCAAAACCCTTGAGGAGAACCACGTAGCCCCCGGCGAAACCAACGGGGCTGAGGCCTCCAACAGGCTCTTGGTACCCGAGGGTGGTATCATCCTCGAATTGGAGCAAGCTACCGCTGACCTCCGTCAGCAGCTGCAGAAGAACGCCCCTGATGCCCGCATTGGCCTTGATAATCGAAGGAGGGATCGGAGTGAGAACCAAGTTCCCCCTCCGGCCCCGGCCATCGATCTTCAGGCTGCCTTTGCGGCCTTTGTCCAAAACATGGCTCTCAATTCCGGAGCCCTCGTCTCTCAGGCTCCCCTTCAGCCCTACGCTGGGGGAAATATTATTCAATTGCCACCACTCCCTCCTCTGTTCAACAATCCTACCCCGGGGATTGGCAACGCCGAGGGGGTCATAGCACAGGATACCGCCTCCCAGGAGGCCCAG